ATATCTTAACAAACACAAACACTCACTGTATCAAGAATTTCATAAGCAAATTGACTTGACAATCACAAACTCTTAATATGAAGGAAAGACAAGATCAGAATTTTGCGATCTTTAACAAACACCCAACTGGTCTGACAAAACAGACATTCAGTACCCATGTCTTATCTCAAGTACTTAGCTAACATTAACACACAGAGCTAGATTCAGTAAAACAAAGGGAAGCACACTTTTGCATCGCAAATAATATGACAACTGGCCAGACACCATGAGAAGTATATAAAGACGAAAATTCTTGCCTTAGTCATAGGAAATGTAAGTGGTTTACATGTGAGATCTTTAAGTATGAGTACGCAACAATATTCAGGTAATAGATTGATAGAAGCACTCACCTTTTTCGAGAAACCATGCACAAGCAATACTTTTCTGAAAAAGGGACCCTACAGGCTACAGCAAGGAAACAATTCAGTGTTGTTAGAAAAGCTATCCTTTGAAGATGAAGTTTCAATGTATACACCATGGTTGAATTATCATTTATCCGTGCCCGCATTCCCTTGACTAATTAGATGTTGTGAGAAATATATCACTGTAAATTACGAAAGAAGATAAAATTATAATCGAGGAGCATAATGACATTAACTGAGGTATGCACTACAGGCCTAAAGGTAGATTCAATTGATGATCAAAGTCCCTACCTCCTTCTTGTCGATCTTGAAGTATCAAACAAATTTATACAATATCTGATCTTCCTTTTATTTATTGAACTGCATCTGAAACCCCATCAGCATCTTGCGTCATAATTTCAATTGTTCCTTGAAATTAAGCATTCAAAATTTATATATAAGAACCTAATCTAAGCATATCAACATAAATAGGCACTATGAGGCAAAAAAACCTAACAATAATTGAATTATTTTTTGCATCTTTTCATCTCAGGTCTGGTTGTGAATAGCTAATTGGAAAAGAAAAACACAAGAATTCTCAAATGCACTGAATTGTTGGTTGTAGATATGATAAATCTTTACAGCACCCAAACTGGAGAATGCATGGATAGTCATGATAGCATACACTAAACCTGACAGTGCAGCTATCTAAAATTGATATGAATCGTCGCAGCAACCAAACTGGAGAATCGATGAATACCCATGATGGCATACACCAAATAATAAAAGTAGGAGTAAACTCACGTTTTGTCATTCAGATTCCTAATGGAGAAGGGTTAGAGGGTGGGTTTACACAGTAATAAACTTCAAGTAGGACGTTCCACAAGTAGTCAGATTTATATATTTTCTATTTTTTAATATTAGGTGACCATAAATTTTCCAGCAAAGCTGACAATTAGAAAGGCTAGTTTGACAAAACAACAAAGCATGCTCATAGGCTTAGCGTTCTTGTAACCCGTAGCTAGACATGGAAAATTGATTATCAGAAAACTATAAATATCTTCATGACAGTCAACTTGAACAAATGCTAACCTTAGGAGATTTAACCAATGATCCAATAACAAAATAAATTTTAACAATGATGAAATGGTATTCTGATGTCCAGATTATTTATCAGACTCTTTCAGCAATTGTCCAATCTACATACAACTCAAAGAGCATCCCATGAGTGATGTACAAAAACAGTCCATATTATGAAGAAACAATTAGCATTTTTACAGTGTAAAAATGGCAGAGAAAGAGCAGCATGGATATATTATATAAAAGCATAGTAGGTTTGATTTTGAATCACACACCGACTTTCAGTTTCCTCATTCCCCATCAGCATAGTAGGGTAATTGTGCAATCAGATGGAACATGCAGCATGAGACTGATTAATCTCCGGAGACCCTTGCTAAAAATCACATGTGCTAAAAATTCTCAACGCATGTCCTTCTCCTTCTCGACGCAGGTCCATCTACGAGGACACAGCCACCAAGGTTTGCTAGCATGGAGACGCATTTTGTCGAACATGTTGCCCGCGTTACATTCCCCACTTAGGTGTCCGCTTTTTCGCATAGAAGGGACAGCAGGGAACGGGTGGGCATACCCTGGTTGACCACCTGCGCCGCCGAGATGCTGCGCACGGATGCGTGCGCCGCCTCCAGCACCGGGACGCCATGCCACCTCACGGTGGTCAGCTTTGGTAGCGTTGACGAGCTGGAAGGCGAGTCCAGTGTCCTGGCCGAGGATATGGTGGATGCTGTTGAGGAGCGACGCCTGGAAGTGGCCCAAGCTGAACGCGTCCTTCTTCACCAGCACCACGGTGCCCCGATGCGGCCCTCCAGCACTGTGGACGCCGCGCCACCTCACGGTGGTCGAAGACGTGCAGCACGGCCAAGCGGTGAGTCACGGAGGGGACGGGAGCGATGCCGCGATCGCAAGGGAAGCGACGAGCAGGGAGGAGACCGAGGCAGATGGAACACGTGAGCGTGAAACCAAATAAAAGGAGGAAAAAATTGTCCCTTTTGCAAATACAAAGAGGGAAAGTAATTAAATGTAGACAGATTTGACAAGGTTCTCATAAATACAAAAGGTTCCTTTTGTCTTAATTCTCTTTCCTTCTGTGTTAATTCTCTTTCCTTTTGCTCGTTACCATGTATGCTGATACATGCAAACATGCAATGTGTATATGAATAGCATAATAATTTTCTACTTTCTATTTTATCGTGATTCCTCTATCACATGACAGGCAATATTCAATCAAGGAGATGTCGTGGGATCGCATGCGTGGGCAGACGGACGAATCAAAACAAATGTCGCACAAAAAAATTCACACTTTGTTCTTTTTTATTATAGGAGATACGATCTGAGCCACCAGATTGCGGGAAAGAAATTGACAAAAAAGAATCGCTCCTCTTGCCGGCCGATCGCTCGTCGAACAATCTGCCGCCGCTGATTATGGGCCTGGATGGCAGCATAAGAGCCGTTCGATTTCAGAGATGCGCATGCAGGCGCTCCCATTCAAGATCTGCAGCTAAACACACCATATATCTTGTAGTAGTTGTAGTAGCAGTATTTATGCCATGACGCTTTAGCGGCCTTTTGGATGCAGCAACACTGGTTAAGATCCCTGCATGAGAATGGCTCTGAGTTTGCTCCCCTCGTAAATCCAATCCATGAGGCAAAGGAAAAACTCCTGGCTGGCCTCTTCTCTTGTTTGGCCTCGGCTCAACAGAGTCACCATGGTGGCCTTGGGACGTCCTCTCTCCTTTCTGGTGACCTCTCTTTCTCCTTTCCTCACATCTCGCTTTCTAAACCCTCCCCTCTTCTTTTTTAGGGTTCTAATTAAGTGTGTTGTTCACAATCTAGAGGAAGAAGAGGATAATCAATTTGTGCAGTTTGCCATATGTGTCTTGAATGATCTTCAGCACATTAGAGCATCTCCAAGAGTTTCCAAAACCTACTCCCAATCTTGATTTTTTGGCATGATTGAAAAAAAACACACTCTCCAACAACTCCCTATCTCAACTCTCAAACTCTCAGCTCCAAGCCGTGGAAATATACGTGCCCATATCAAACCGCCAATCTGGAGGTGGAAGGACATTGGAAGGAACAAAAGTAAGGGCAGGGTTTCCAATGCAAAGACACGTGCCCATATCAAACCGCCAATCTGGAGGTGGAAGGACATTGGAAGGAACAAAAGTAAGGGCAGGGTTTCCAATGCAAAGACACAGGAGAGAAAAAAAAGTATAAAAGTGGGTAAGATGATTTAGAAAAAAAATTCGGGATTTCTGATACAAAATTATATTCTATCTTTTACGAGTGCGATTTTGAAATGGTTGGAAGAAGCCAACAAATATGCTCTCAATTTTTTTAGTCACTTGAGAAACTCATTGATTTACCCAGTGATTTTTTAGAAACTATTGGAGATGCTCTTAGGTTTGACAAGTTCCTTGCTGGTCTTTGATTTCTTTTCTTTTCTTTTCCTTGTTTAGAGCATAAACAATGAATAACCCAAGTGCCATGTTTTGTGTTTTATACTGCGAGGAATGTCTTTTGTGAAATACTTTGTTGCTTGTGACTTTACAAACCCCTGCACTTGGTATTACTATTGTGCAAGTATTTTCCCCCTCATATCAAGAACAACTGAAGCACGGCAACTGTTGCTTAGTGTATGCAAACTATCTTATACTCAATCCATCCCAAATTATAAGACGTTTGACTTTTTTGACACCAAGTTTGACCACTCGTCTTATTCAAAATTTTGTGCAAAATATCACTTCTTTTGTCATGGCTTGGTTTATTAATAAAAGTTCTTTAAGAATGACTTAAATTTGACTATATTTACACAAATTTTTTGAATAAGACGAGTGGTCAAACTTGAGATCAAAAAGTCAAACATCTTATAATTTGGGATGGAGGGAGTACGTTATAAGTAATTGAACTACAGGTACTACAGAAGCCCATGCTACAGAGGCTATGGAAGAACTACGAGCTGCCGAATTGATCAGTGTCTACATACAGCAAATGTTTAAGTTGGTATATGACCGTGACGGACCAGAAGTATCATGATGGGGCTCCGGCTAGCCCATTTGGCCGGCCCATCTGGCTCTCCAATTCCATGAACTGCCCACGCTTTCCGTATAAAAAAGATAACTGCCACGCGCATCTTCTGCCGACTCGCATTGCTTCAGACGTCAGCCACCATAACAGCCTCCGTCGCAAATCCGCCAAGGCCTCCGTCGTCTCCGTCTCCGTCCCCGGCTCCCGGCCTCCGCTCAGCACGACAGCACCGTCCCGATCGGCAGCACAAGCCGAAGCCGAGACGACTCCAGGGTCCAGACCAACCACGTCTTGGCCTCCGCTTGCTCCGGCCATGTCGCGCTTCTTCCGCGGCGCCGCCTCACCGCCGCCGCAGCGGTTGCGGGCCTGTCCTCTGCATTCTTGCAGAGCCTCTCTTCGCCCCTCCCACTCTCGGCTTCGCCCTCCTCTTCTCCGTCGACGCCCATCGGCTCCGTCGCGGTCTCCGGTCACGCAGCCCTCGTCCGCGCGCACCCGAGTCTCCGCGAGCTCGACGCCATGCTTACACCGGCCTCCTTCCTCGTCGACGCCACCCAGGCGTTCCTGGCGGGCGCACTGCGGTGCCCGCCTATCTACCCCGAGACGCTCCGCCAGGGCCGCGAATACCTCACCGCACAGATCCTGTCCGCAGAGTCCGAGGGCCACGCGGCGGTGGAGCAGGCAGCCTTGGCCCGGACCAACATGGCCCTCCTCGATGCCCGTGAAGGACGCCTCGACGACGCCCGCGACGCCATCGTGCGCCTCGCCGCGGAGCGCCCAGGCGACACCACCTTGCGCCTCTTCGCCGCCGCGCTCTGCCGCGTGCTAGGCCGCCACGAGGAGGGGACCCAGTGGCTGCACGATTCCGCCGTGCCTGACCTCTCCCGCCTCGAGCACAAGATCCAGTTCGTGCAGGCCGTCCTTGTCGCCACGGTTGGCTCCGCACCGCGCGCCGTGGCGGGCTCGGAGGAGCTGGCCTTGGTCACCACGCTCGGGCTGCTCGAGATGTCGATGTGGTCCATTTTCACGCATGGTGATCTGCCGGAGAGGCTCCAGGTGTTAGCGATGATGGCATTCTTGCGGGGCGTCGTAGCGAGGAAGCTGCGCAGAGATGATGGACCAGCACCGATGCAGGGATCTTAGGAGGCCACCCCTAACTAGCTAGGTGAGATACTAAAACGTTTCAATTGGATACTTCGATTCGTTCATGTCATATTATTGATGCAACCACTGGTAGTTTCTCACATTTTTTCTGTGGAGTCTGCTAGCTACTTGTATGGCTTATTCAGTTATTCAAATTTCATGCCGTGATCATTATGCTAGTTTGAGGAAATGTCGATCTAATAGAGCCTAATATGTTGATCCTGTCTCCATTTAAGTGATGAACATGTTTGAGTATTAATAAGAGATTTCAAGCGTTTCGACAAAGCTACTCTATGCCCTGTTCACTTCTCTTATAATCCGTCTTTTTCAGCTTTTTTTTCACAGAGGTACAGTGTTTTTCTCTTACAACAAATCAGTCGGAACAGTGTTTTTGCTTGTTTTTTCAGCGAAGCGAATGGGGCCCTAGTTTTACCATTGCAGTGGCATCTTTTTAATCATCCATGGAAACCATGACACCTTGTATGTGTGGCTTTTTTGCAACAACTATTGGAAGTCTGCTTCCTATTTTGGTGGGCAATTCAACACTGGAGTAGTTGAATTAGGAGATGAATTCAAGATACTTGTGTTAAATGCACTCTGCTACACATAGGAACAATCTTGTTTCCCATGTAATAAAATGAATGAAATCATGTATGACTCTGATTGAGGTGGAAATGGAGTCATGGACACAGCACTATATATGTATCTAATAATTGGTAGGTGTTGGTCATGAAAAAGCTTTTGTTTAATTCGAAAAGATATATCTTAATGCATTAGCGAAAGTCACTTTTCTTAATCGATGTCAATGTTTGTTTCATAATTTTATCTTACTGATGTTGTTTAAAAAGTTTAATGGCACACCAACAGATTTTCCTGTTCAGGTGTCTCAAGAATTGATAAGAATCCAAATAAGCCCGAAATTTCAAATTTGCAATGCAGAGTGCCGACTACCTTGTGTTTGGCCATCTATTTCGTTTTACTATTACAACATTGATGCCACAGTATCACACATGTTGAATGTAACACACATGTACATTAGAATTGGTTCTTGAAAACTCATGCTATTTATTCCTGTATTTGGTTTTCAATCCAGGTTCTGTAGATGTGTAATGAACATGCCAAAACATGCAAACCTTTACCTAAAAGTTCTCTTGTGAGCAGTTTTAATTTCAGTCAAATGTTTTTTCTTCTGTATGAGATCTGTGTCGTTTAAAGATGTTTAGTCCTGACAACAGAATATTTTGCAGGTGAATTGTCTTCAGAACTCCATTCAGAATTAGGTGACCATGTCTGAAGATTCCTTGGTTAAGACGGATATTAAAGTGAAGTGGTGATCAATATTCATTAGCTGTTTTGAAAGTGTTGTACAGAGATCCTCAACCAATTGCATAATGTCCAAATTTCACTTTTATCATGGCACTGGCAACATATTCCATAGACTGATACAAAAGTAATGCACTAATCCTTTCGCTGGTTTGTTAACTAGGGTGCGAATAGCAATGTTAAAGCTGTACGAATTGATGGATTTACATTTATATGCTTGGAGATGCCGTAAAAACGGTACTCTTCGTTTTCTGACAATTACTACCTTTATGCTAAATTTGTATCTAGAAAAGTCAAAATGAACTAGATATATACTATCTTCGTTCCAAATTATAAGTCGCTTTGATTTTTTGGTATATCCATTTTGCTATGTATCTAGATATATATTACATCTAGATGCATAGCAAAATAGATATACCAAAAAAATCAAAGCACATCTAGATACATAGTAAAATGGATATACCAAAAAGTCAAAGCGACTTATAATTTAGAACGGAGGGAATAACTCTTTTCATAAACAAGTGGTGTAGGTTCGGATCGGTCCATTAGTTGATCTACTTACTTCTAACGGATTAAAATGGGACCATGCATTCGCCTCACCTCAACGCATACAAACAACTGCATGCTGTTTTGGCTATATAAAGGTGGCGTTGTAGCCTCGTAGGCAGCACGAACGGCCATAATGCTAAACGACACTCGAGTGTTCCTCTTGTTCTCATTCTTCTCCATCTCCGGCCTTTTCCTCCTCTTCTTTGCCAACTCCGACGAGCTTAGAAGGGGTTCGGGAGGGGGCGGCGGCCAGGCGGTAGCAGGGATGGAGGGAGGATGACGTTAGGGTTCCGACGGCGATGGATGGAGGCAGCAGAGCTGAGTCAGGTGGGCGCCCATAGCCATGACATGGGGGGGGGGGAAGGGGCCACAACCAGAGAGCTCATGAGACCCTACCACGCCACGCGCTAGGCGGTGGGAAATGGCGGAGCATCAAGAGGAGGAGAAGACGGTGAAGAAAAAAATCAGGTATTAGAAGAGCGTGAAAAGCTCAAGTGCTACATAAACAGCTCCTATAAAAAAAATGTTTCTTACTGGGAGTGCTCAGTTGCACTTCTACAGCCAAGGCTACACTGTAGCTGCTTGATTTTGTGTTTGGTGAATGCTGCTGCTTCAGCAAGCACTGTTGATCAGAGCCTATGCTTTGTACAAATCCTCCTACTCTAGACCTATGGGTATGGATGAAAATGGGATTAGATGGATATTTTTCGATAACCGTCTATTCTGAAACGGTCAAAACATTATTTGGATAGTCCGTATCTAAATCCAGACATTCAATATTTGAGCATACCTGAATCTGAATTCTCAAAAATCAGATTTCGGATATATAATGAGATAGATATCAATATCTCAACTATTTGTATCTGATTCTAAGATCCGATAAAAAAAATATAGGATATAGCACGTAACGACAGGATCACTGTTATCCGTTGTATCCCGGTTTCATCCCTGGTCTGGGAGCCTTGTTCCGTTAGCTCGGCTTCAGCCGCTGGCCCGCTGCCCGCCGGGCAACCGCCCAGTTGGGCAATTGGCATGCGCAGCCGCAGACAAGTTCACCCTGCCCCACATCCACTCTGCTCAGGCCCCACTCCGCAGAAGCCAAAACCGCGAGCGCACAAAGCGACAACTCCCCCCAACCTCCTCGCCTCCTCTCGCTCCGGCCATGTCGCGCTTCTTCCGCGGCGCCGCCCTCACCGCCGCAGCGGCTGGGGGCCTGTACTCTGCATTCTCGTGGAACCTATCGTCGCCCATCCCACTCTCGGCTTCGCCCTCCTCTTCTCCGTCGGCGCCCGTAGGCCCCGCCGCGGTCACCGGCCACCTCGCCCTCGTCCGCGCGCACCCGGCTCTCCTCGAGCTCAACGCGATGCTTACACCGGTCTCCTTCCTCGTCGACGCCACCCAGGCGCTCCTCGCGGGCGCACTGCGCTGTCCGCCTATCTACCCCAAGACGCTCCGCCACGGCCGCGAATTCTTCACCGCACAGATCCTGTCCGCGGAGTCGGATGGCCACTCGACGGCGGAGCAGGCGGCATCGGCCCGGGCTAACATGGCCTTCCTCGATGCGCGTGAAGGCCGCCTCGAGGGCGCGCGCGACGCCATCGTCCGCCTCGCCGCGGAGCGCCCGGGCGACACCACCTTGCGCCTGTTCGCTGCCGCGTTCTGCCGCGTGCTCGGCCGCCACGAGGAGGGGGCCCAGTGGCTGCACGATTCCGCCGTGCCCGACCTCTCCCGCCTCGAGCACAAGACTCCGTTCGTGCTGGCCGTCCATGTCGCCACGATCGGTTCCGCGCCGCTCGCCGTGGCGGGCTCGGAGGAGCTGGTGTTGGTCACCACGCTCGGGCTGCTCGAGATGTCGATGTGGTCCATTTTCTCGCACGGCGATCTGCCGGAGAGGCTGCAGGTGTTAGCGTTGATGGCATTCTTGCGGGGCGTCGTGGCGAAGAAGCTGCACAGAGATGAAGGACTTGCACCGATGGAGGGACCTCAGGACGCCACCCCAAACTAAGCTAGGTGAGATACTGAACAAATTTCACTTGGATACTTCGATTGTTTCGTGTCATGTTACTGGATGCGACCAATCTTAGCTTCTCACTATTTTCCGTGGAGTCAGCTTCTTGTATTGCTTATTCGATTATTCAAATTCCATGCCATAATCGTTGTGCTTGTTTGAAGCAATGTCGATCTAATAGAAACGAATATGTTGATACTGTCTCCATTTAACTGTTGAACAAGTTTGTAGTATTAATAAGAGATTTCAAGCATTTCGACAAAGCTACTCTATATAGTTTCACTATTGCAGTGGCATCTTCTTAATCATCCATGAAAATCCTGACACCTTGTATGTGTGGCTTTTTTTGCAACAACAATAATTTTAGTTGAGTAGACAGTGGAGTCTGCTACTGTTTTGGTGGACAATTCAACACCGGAGTAGTTGCATTAAGAGATGAATTCAAGAAACTTGTGTTAAATGCACTCTGCTACACATAGAACAATCGTGTTTCGCTTGCAATAGATGGAATGAAACCATAACTCTGTATAATTGAGGTTCAGGGAATGGCTACAGTACTATGTCTCTAATAACTGCTACGGTGTTGGACTGTTGGTAATGAAATATGTTTTGTTAAAGTTCAAAAGATATATCGTAATGCATTAGCGAAAGTCACTTTGCTTAATAAGTAGATGTCAATTTTTGTTTCAAAATTCTAACTGGTTTTGTTTCAGAAGTTTAATGGTGCACCATATGTGCACTTTCCGGTTCAATTGTCTGAAGAATTGATAAGAATCTATTTTTTTGAACCGGGGAGCTTCCCCATTCCCACTAATTTTTGAGCAGAAATACGCTGGGCTCTGGGATCAAACCCGGGTGGCCGAGCTCGCGGCTCGCGATGCTGACCAAACGAGCGACTCGCTCGTTCCCATTGATAAGAATCCATATCAGCCTCAATGGTCAAATTTGCAATGCGGAGTGCAGACTACCTTGAAATTAGTGTTTAGACATCTATTTCATTCTACTATTAGAACATCGATGCCACAATAAATCATATGTCACACATATTGAATGTAACGCACATGCACATTAGAATTGATTCTTGATGCTATTCCTGTATTTGTTTTTCAAGCCAAATTCGATCTGTAGATGCGTAATGAACATGCCTAAGCATGCAAGCCTCTACCTAAAAGTTCTCTTGTGATCAGGTTCCATTTCAGTTATATGGTTTTTCTTCTGTATATTTTATATCTTTGTTTAAAGATGTTTAGTCCTCAACAGAATATTTTTGTTCTTGTAGGCGAATTGTCTTCAGAACTCCATTCAGATTTAGGTGACTGTCCGAAGATTCCTTGGTTAAGACAGAATATTCCAGTGAAGTGCTCATCATTAGCTGTTTTGGAAGTGTTGATACAGAGATCCTCAACCAATTGCATGATGTCCAGATTTCACTTTTATCATGGCACTGCCAACATATTCCATAGACTGATACGAAAGTACTGCTTACTGTTCTGGCTTGGCAACCGAGCAGCAAGTAGCAATGTTAATAAAGCTGTATGAATTTGATCGATTTACATTTGCATGCTTAGATGTGCTGTGAAAATGTTACTCTTTGTTCTTCTCATGATTACTCTCTTCGTTCCAAATTATAGGTTGTTTGGGTTTTCTAGATACATACTCTCTATTCTAAATTGTAAGTCATTTTGAGTTTTCTAGATGCATAGTTTTTTTAATACACATAGATATACACTATGTCTAAATACATAGTAAAAAAATATAAATCTAGAAATGTCAAAGCGACATTCAATTTGAAACGAAGGGAGTAATTTTCCTATATATATAAATAACGTATATCTAGGTGCAAGCGAAAACTATGTACTTAGAAAAGAAAAAACAATGTATAATTTGGAATGGATGGGTATATATGATCTTAGTACTCTATGTGCAGTAATACAAAAACGATTTTCAACAGCACAATTTTGGCCCTTCATCTTTGAAAATAGTCTCGACCCATTTTAAGCTATTGTTTCTCACCTACTGCTACCCATACTATGTTTTTTTCATGAGCATGTCTTGACAAGTTTTTCATTAAAAGACGAATAGAATTACACGACGTGTCGCTACGAGAGAGCTCAAATAATACAGGTTACAAGCCACCAAGCCTGGCAAGCAATTTGGAGTAGGACCCATAACCCCAAAACCATACTAGCATGATCCTGCAAAATACATCAAAGGCTGTCTACAGAAGGAATCAAGCCACGACGTCAAAGCATCCTAGAGAACACAAAACGAACAACTAGTAACAACGGCGGCGATGTATCCGGACGGGGAAGGGAAAGTAGAGCACGGGAAGGAGGAAGGAGGCACGGGGAACAGAGGCGGATGCGGAGAAGGAAATCAAGCACGCGAGAGGGACAGCCGGCGCGCGGCAGTCGATTGACCTACGGATAGCGAGCAGGTCTCGCTTGAAAAAAATTCGTCTGACCCAGGGTGTTGATCCAGAGACTAAAGTTTAAGAGGTATCGTATCGGATATCATATCTATTGTCACATTGGGTGTTCGGATATTAATAATAAAACTAATTAGAAGCCGTAACTAATTCGTGAGACAAATCTATTAAGCCTAATTAATTTATCATCAGCACATATTTACTGTAGCACAATATTATCAAATTATGTACTAATTAGGTTTAATAGATTCGTCTCGCAAATTAGTCTCAATATATATAATTAATTTTATAATTAGTCTATATTTAATATTTTAAATAGTATCAAATATGCTTACTGTACTCGATGCGACAGATACTAAATTTCAGGAGGGAACCAAATACCCCAAGAGACTTCTAGTGTTGGATACTTGGATTTCATTGACCTGGGTTGCTGGGTATGATCGCTCCTGGCCAGCTGTCTGGCAGGCCGCAGGCACCAGCCAAACGAAAAATCCCGTAGACCCAGCCACTTGCAGGCACCCACCTGTGACCTGTTGCATCATCAGCAACTAACCAAGTCGCAACACGAAGTCTGAGCACCGCCTTCTTCAGTTCTCCCTCCTTCCGCTGATTCGCTCCGCCCTCCGCCCATGGCTGGCCGCGTCCTCCTCCGCGCCGCTGCCTTCGGCCTCGCCGCCGCGGGGGCGGGGTCCCTGCATGCCGTGTCCAAGTGGACGCCTCCCAGGGAGATCTCTCCCTTCCTCCCGTCCGTGAAGCTCATGCTCTTGGAGTCCGCAAACGGCCTCCAGTCCGCCCTGCTCCGCGCGCACCCGCTCTCCGGTGCGCACCTCCGCGACGTCCGCGCCCGCGCCGAGCTCGACCTCGCGCGCGTTGACGTGGAGATCGGCCATGGCGGCGACCCCACCGCGGCCGCGGACCTCCGTCTCCTCCTCGCGCTCCTCGCCACGCGCGACGGTCGAGCCGACGACGCGTTGCGGCTCTACGCGGAGGCGGCCCGCGACGCGCCTTTCGACCCCCGGCCCCGCGCCCTCGCGTATAACCTCTGCTTCCTCAGCGGGCGTGACGACGAGTCTGCGGCGTGGAGAGCCGCCTACCACCGCCTCGTCCCGGGCTCCAGCCAGCACCCGGGATGGGAGTCCCACGAGACGAGGGAGCTCGTCCGCGAGCTCGTGGTCGCGGCGACGCTGGGCGGCGTGCACGCGCTCGGCTACCCCGAGGATAGGTCCTTGGTCATGCGCGTGGCCAGCAGCGCTGTGGACAAGGGGCTGGTCGCTGCGCTGCAGGACAAGGCGCTATCTGCGACGGAGAGGCTTCAGTTCCGATTGCTCCGCGTGTACCTGGACACCAAGGTGCGGCGCCTCGTGAAGGAGGAGGAGCTGGCCATGGCCGACATTGGTGAGGAGGCATCTTCGGGTTCATCGTAAGTAAACTTACACGGTTAAATACTTATACTCGTCTCATCCTCGGATCAAATGAATGAATGCGGTCGCTCAAATTTGCGTTTCCAAAGGGCAGGGTGGATTGGAATTGGATCGTTCAACCTAGTTGCACAAGGAATTTTATATGCAGGCTAGTTGTGTAACGTGTTTGAGTTGTGCTTCCTGCTGGATCAATTGATCTGTCAGGCACTCCTGAGATAGCCATCATTTAATACAGCAAATCAAATCACTAATAGTGCTTACTTTGGTGGTTTGTATCCTTCATTCGTTATCATGTGTGATTGTGAAGCTTTAGTTTGTTGATGATGATGAACTGGATTGATCATATTATGTCATTGTAAATGTGCACTTGGTATTTTGTTGAAACTGAACTACATGGATAAATGCTGGCATAATTTTGCAATGTAAGATTATTAGTGTTCTGTATGGTTACCGTGTTCATTTTATTGTTCGTTAGTTTTATCATTGCATAAGTAAGGACATTACCATATTACATGCACAACAAAATAGCACCGATCACATAGAAGGGAGGCTTGGTTATCGTCCTTAGCTGGAAAGACCCATATATTAACATGGTCGGACAATTCTCGCTTATCAGAATCTGACAATTGGATCTTGTCAGAGATTATGATATCATTGCACAATTTTAATTAGTAGGGTAGCTAATTCTATAGTCTGTTTGATTTCAACCTTCCTTGGACAGGTTTAGTAGGATCGTTGCGGAACCATTTGTTGATTCCAATGAACAATAACATGTGGCATTGTCTTTTGTACCATCTTAAAAAATGCATACATGCTTGAAAGAAAATTTCCACACATGTGTTTTGCATGGCTGTTGTATTCAATCCATTCTTTCATTGATGGATGCATAAGGTCTAGCTCATTGAAACAGAGCACTGTCTTGGTTGGGTGATACATGACAGTGTGTACAATGCATGTTTTAATCAATTTGCTGGCAGTGTCCTTATCACAAAAAAAAAAATTCTGGTAATGTGATTTGTATGAGTAAAAGATTTTCAATTGTTTAACTACATAAATACTACTCTCTCCATTTCAAGTTATAAGACGTTTAGGCTTTTCTAGATACATAGATTTTGTTATGCACTTAGATACACATTATGTCTAGATAT